TGGTGATAGAGCTAACTGAACGTCATATATTTCAGTATCTCTGAGAATAAATTTCAAATATTCTTATCACAAAAAGTATATTATACCATGTATCAGCTACAGTGATCACTTTGGTACATGATGTAACTAGTAAGGATATCAGAATAATAAATGGATTCCCACTCTACTAGAGGCCATGCCATACTAGGCATCCTAGGTAAGACACCTAATAAAACCCCTTAAGCCCTACCCAGCAGTCCCCAACATGAATAAAATCCAAAGAATCATTAGGTCATACTTCAAGAACCTGTACTCCACAACATTGTAAAATCTGTTTCATAAAGAAATTAGACAAATCGCATACTAACAGCATAACTCATAACTAACAGATACTCAATAACTCAATATTCATAACTCAGCACTAGCAGATCTAATAATTTAACAGCACACCTGGAAGCTCTAGAACAAGAAAGGAATAGACAGCAGGAAATAAACTCAGGAGTGAAATCAATAAAATAGAAACAGAGAATATAAAGAATCAATGAAACAGAGTTGGTTCTTTGAGAAAATCAACAAGATAGACAAATCCTTATTCAAACTAACTGAAAGGTAGAGAGAGAAAAGCCAAGTCAACAAAATCAGAAATGAAAAGGGGGACATAATAATAGACACCAAGAAAACCCAAAGAATTATTAGGTCATACTTCAAGAAACTGTACTCCACAAAATTGGAAAATATAAAAGAAATGGACAAATTTCTTGATAGATACCACTTACCAAAGTTAAATCAAGATTAGATAAACAATTTAAATAGACCTATAACCCCTAAGGAAATAGAAGCAGTCATTAAAAGTCACCCAACCAAAAAAGAGCCAAGGCCAAAACCATTTTAGTACAGAATTCTACCAGACTTTCAAAGAAAAGCTAAAACTACTACTCTTCAGATTATTTAGAAACAGAAGGAACATGACCAAAATCATTTTATGAGGCCACAATCACCCCAATACCAAGCCACACAAAGACTCAGAAAAGAAAAAGAATTACAGATGAATAGCCCTCATGAACACTGATTTAAAAAATACTCAATTAAATAAATACTCGCAAACCGAATCCAAGAAGACATCAAAATAACCATCCATCATGATCAAGTAGGCTTCATTGCAGAGATCCAAGGATGGTTCAACATTAAAAAAGAAAATAAAAGAAAAAGAAAAGAAAAAAAACCTGTCAATGTAATCAACAATACAAGCAAAAAGGAAAAAAAAAAGATCATTACATTCCATGCTGAAAAAGCCTTTGACAAATCCAACACCCTTTCATGATTTAAGTCTTAGAGAGACAGAGATACTAGGAATATACCTAAATATAATAAAGGCAATATACAGAGTGCCAACATCAAATTAAATGGCGAGAAAATTAAAGCAATGCCACTAAAATCAGGAACAAGACAAAGCTGTCCATTCTCTCTATATCTATTCAATATAACACTTAAAGTTTTAGCTAGAGCAATAAAACAACTAAAGAAAATCAAGCAGATACAAATTGGAAATGAAGAAGTCAAAGTACCACTATTTACAAATGATATGACAGTATACATAAGCGATACCAAAAATTCTACCAGGGAACTCCTACAGCTGATAAACACCTTTAGGCAAGTGGCTGGATACAAAATAAACTAAAAAAAATCAGTAGTCCACCTGTACATAAACAATAAATGGGATTAGAAAGAAATTAGGGAAACCCTTTACAATAGCCATATGTAATACAAAAAAATTACTCTAACCAAGCAAGTGAAAGACCTGTACAAGAATTTCAAGTCTTTGAAGAAAGAAACTGAAGATGGTATCACAAGATAGAAAGATCACCCATGCTCAGGGATCAGTAGCATTAACACAGTAAAAATGGCCATCTTATCAAAAGCAATCTACAGATTCAAGGCAATTTCTGTCAAAATTCCAGCACAATTCTTTACAGACCTTAAAAGAACAGTACTCAACTTCATATAGAAAAACAACAACAAAAAATGGATAGCTAAAACAATCCTGGAAAAAAAAAACTTCTAGAGGTATCACCATCCCTGATTTCAAACTCTGCTACAGAGCTACAGTAATAAAAACCACATGGTATTAGAATAAAGGTGGGCCAATGGAATCAACTTGAAGACCCAGACATAAATAAATCCACACACCTATGGACACCTGATTTTTGGCAAGAAGCCAAATTATACAATAGAAAAAAAGAACAACAAATGGTGCTGGTCTATCTTTATATCTGCATATAGAAGAACGCAAAATGATTCATATCTATCACCCTGTACAAAAGTCCAAGTGAATCAAAGACCTCAACATAAGACCAGATCCACTGAACCTGATAGAAGAGAAAGTGGGAACATCCGTGAACACATTGGCACAGGACACAACTTCCTGAACAGAACACCAATAGCACTAAGACTGACAATTAATGAATGGGACCTCGTGAAACTGAAAAGCTTCTCTGTAAGGCAAAGGAAACTGTCAATACAACAAATGGGCAACCAATAGAATGGGAAAATGTCTTCACCACCCTACATCAGACAAAGGGCTAATTTCCAAAATATATAAAGAACTCAAGAAACTAGACATTAACAAACCAAATAATCCAATTTAGAAAATGGGGTGCATATCTAAACAGAGAATTCCCAACACAGAAATCTCAAATGGCCAAGAAGCACTTAAACAAATGTCCAACATCCTTAGCTATCAGGGAAATGCAAATCAAAATGACTCTGAGATTCCACCTTACATCTGTCAGAATGGCTAGGATTAAAACATGAGTGACCGCACATGCTGGTCAGGATGTGGAGCAAGAGGAATGCTCCTTCATTGCTGGTGCAAATGCAAACTTGCACAACCACATTAAAAATCAATATGGCAGTTTCTCTGAAAAGTGGTAACTGATCTACTGCAAGACCCAGCTATACCACTCTGGACATACCCAAAAGATGCTCCATCATACCACAAAGACTTTTGCTCAAGTATGTTCATAGCAGCTTTAGTCACAACCCTCAAGAAACTAGATGTCCCTCAACCAAAGAATGGATAAAGAAAGTGTGGTATATTTACACCGTGGAATGTTACTCTCTCTCTCTCTCTCTCTGAGAGAGAGAGAGAGAGAGAGAGAGAGAGAGAGAGAGAGAGAGAGAGAGAGAGAGAGAGAGAGAGAGAGAGAGAGAGAAGTACTGGAAGAAACATCTGAAATTGGAAGTCATCTCCAGATGAGCTAGAAACCTAATGCAATGGAAATTCCCAGGAACCTATGAAGGTGGCCCTAGCTAAGACTCCTAGCAATGGGGGATATGGAGCCTGAATTGGCAATCTCCTGTAACCAGGAAAGGCTTACAGTGGAGGGACTGAGACAACAACCCAGCCACATAACCTTCAACCTACAAGACATGTTGGGGTAGAGGCAGCATAGAAATTGTGGGAGTGGCCATCCAATGACTGGTCCATCTTGAGACCCATGCCATGAAAGAAAGACCACACCTGACACTGACTGGAAGGCCAGGACCCAAAGGCTGGACAACCCAGAGACTCAGGACAGAACCAAACATGACTGGAAAAAAGATCAGTGAAATGACTCCTGGTGATGTTAGCCCAATTGTCATCAGAGAGGCTTCATCTAGCAACTGATGGAAACAGATGCAGTCCTACAGACAAACATTAGGTGACCCTTGAGAAATCCTGTAGAAGAGGGGAGGAAGGATTGTAGGATCCAGAAGAATCAAGAACACCACAAGAAAACACACAGGATCAACTAACCAAGGCTGATAGGGTCTCACAGAGACTGAACCGTCAACCAGGCGCCTGCAAGGGTCTGACCTAAGCCCTCTGCATATGTGACAGTTGTGTAGCTTGATCTTTTAATTCTCTTTCTTTTGTTTTTTCGAGACAGGGTTTCTATGTGTAGCTTTGTAGACAGGCTGGCCTTGAACTCACAGAGATCCTCTTGCCTCCCCAGTACTGGGATTAAAGGCATGGGCCACCACCACCCAGCCTGTAGCTTGGTCTTCTTGTGGGTCTCCTAACAATCAGAGCAGGAGCTGTCTCTGATTCTTCTGCTGGCTTTTGGCACCTTTTCCTCATTCTGAGTTGCCTCAGCCAGCCTTCAACTTGATATGCCATGTCTGGTTGCTATCCATAGGAGGCCTGCCTTTCTCTTAATAGAAATGGAGGAGGCGTGGATGGGGGGAAGGCAGGAGAGGTGGGGAGTTCTGGGAGTACAGGAAGGAGGAGAAACAGCATTCTTGTTGTTAAATAAATAGTAGTGAACAGTAAGAATGGTAAGATTAAAAAGATAGATTGCAAGTAAGCAGATACAGAGGGTGTATGGATTCACTGAGGTCAAGCACACTCATTTTAAAAACTGCCACTGCCTCTGTCTCCTGAGCATCAGAATTTGAAGTTAGGAAAGAATCCTGCATCACAGCCTCCCCTAGTAGTGAAGTGGAGCTGGGGTGCACACAATGGGAAACACACATTAAAATCTTTAACAGCAAGCCAGGCCTGGTCTGCATCATGATTTGGTTTTGTGCCCAAAGAAGTAACTTCTTCCTCCTGTGTATCACATCTACAGAGGGTCTAAAAACTCCTATTACACAATGTCAGCTGTCTTAACTATGAGGCATGTGAGAAATAACTTGATCCTACCTCCTTCTCATGCATTCGAGAGAGAAAATGATCGTCATGAAGACTGCTAGACTTTCTCAGGTTGACCTTTGGAGTTATCTGTAGAACCAGTAAGAGTTATTGAAAACTTCCCAGGATTAGTTTATCAGCTCTTTAAAAGTAAACTAATAAAGTCTGAAAATCACTTCGAAATAATGTTAGCTTTGGAGAAAAAAAGGATTCATCTACTTCTAAGCAACAGGATTAAAATTACTATTATTCTTCCCAATGCTGACTTACATTATTTTATACTGCAATAATTTTACATTTATTTAAAAAATACCATCCCTAGAAAAGGTCCAGTGAAGTCATCACCTACCAGAGAAACTGGGAGAGGCTTCTGTCTCAGGTATCGAGGATTTTCTATCTGAAAAATTATAAATAAAGACATTAGTCCTGGAGTTGTTTGAATAAAATACTTTTTTTCTATGTGAAAGTATCTTCTGTATATCTTAATTTAGTTCATTTTTATAGTATTTACATGCATTCAGTGAAATGCCTTTCTGTGTCTAAATGCCCTTCCGTGGTCCTCTACCTCAATGCCCACTCTCATCCAATGCTCTTCATTCCACATTTCATACTTCCCAAATCCTGAAAGACTATGTTTTCAGAACTTGTGCCCCTCTGCTTGTTTGTTTATACCCCCAAATCCTCTAAGCGTATCCATTCTTTAAATCTTGATTTAGTCACTACACCACCCCCCAGACAGAGAAATGACCCTTTAACCATAAATCATATCATAAATGAGGATGTGGTGACATATTGTTTATGATTTCATAAAGCCACTGGAGATTAAAATGCAAAGATAGTCACAAGGTATAGAGGCAGTGATGATACACACCTTTAATCCCAGCAGCCATACTAACTAACTATTGAGGTTATACCTTTAATCCCAGGCCTCGGGAGACAGACACAGAAAGATCTCTTGTTAGTTCAAGGCCACAATGACTACACGAAATTGATCCAGTCTATAAAAGAAACAGTTCACACAAAGGTGATCACAGCACTTGGAGTCACACACCTTTAATCCCAGCACTAGGGAGGTGGAGACAGGAGGCTGGCCAGAGAGAGAACTATAAGGCAGGAGGAGACAGGAACTGACAGGGTTGCAGTCTGAGACTTGGTAAAGAGCATTGCAGTTTGCATATTGCCTCTGAGGATTGCACTCTGAGGATTCCTGGAGACATGGAGATGGGATCACCTAACTAAGCCTGAGGTAGAGGTAAGAGCCAGTGGCTTACTTTTGTGATCTTCAGCATGAATCCAGAATATCTGTCTCTGGATTTTTATTATTCGTGTTACATGAAGACATGAAGTTCCTTTGAGACTCTCCCTAAATCTCTTTTCAGCTTCACTATCCTCCAACTTAACCCATATTCCAGGGGTGCCAAAAAACTTGTTCTACCTTGCAAGCACTACCTGCAAAAAGCTGCAAACATTCTCCCACCTTCTTCAAGACTCAGAGTCAGAATGAGGTTCCTCAGGAAAATTAACTCCTACCAGGCTAGTGCCACCCTGAATACTCACCTCTTTTAACGACCTAGCACCTATCTATTTTCTCCAAAAAAAATGTGAATCCAAAAAACAAAGACTGTGATTGCCACATTATCCAGTCTATTCCTAACACCCACACCAGTGCCAATGACATTCTTAGGGAAGAGGAGGGAGAGAGGGAACTACATTGGGCCCCACCTCTCAGCAGCTCCTACAACATCCTGGATGGCCCTTACGTAATACCTTGAGTGTTGAACAGTATGCTCACACACATCTTCGGGCAGACTGAGAACAAGGATAATGTCTTCTTAGCTTTACACCTCTGTTATCTAACACATATTTAATGCCTTTTAATCACAGTTTCTTGAATTCATTTGTGCTAAATTCTTTATGATTTCTATGTCAATGATTTCATTTACAAATAAAAATAAAAATTAAAAGTCATTACCAGAAAAGTCCAATTTCTTCACATCATAAACACAAGTTACTACACCAATAACCACAAGACAATCATAACAAGAACATTATGACTCCAGAAGGAGTGGTTCTCACCCTGGATTACACAGTTAGGATTAAGTGACAAGCTTTTTCACATGCATCTTGTTGAATTCAATCTTCAAAAATCCTAGCCAATTTTCAGAAAGCTAAATTTTATATAACTGTGAAGATATCTACACTCAATTTGACATAAAAAGAAAAGATAAATCAGGAATCCATTGAAGAAAACAGAGGGACTAACTTAAACAGAAATCAAAATAGCAAGAGTCTAGTGTAACAGCAGACAGGATCTGAGGAATATATGCATTTTAGTCCATAGAACAGGAAAATAAGCACCTTATTTTCTAGGTTTTCCTCACCTAGAGACTAGATCCTGTAAAGGTACCGAAAACCATCTGAACTTAAATTTCTCTGCTCCTCGTCCTGGACATAGACCAACAATGGAACCATATAAAAATGCCCATCAGCAGTGCCTACATCACAATAAAGAGAAATTGAATAGTAATTTCAAGATCCACATGAAAATAGCCATAAATATCCAAAGTTCAACAGAATTCACAAAAAGTACAAAGTCCCCACGACTGTATGTTTGGCAGCACCACAGCCTGGCTGTGTCGAAGTCTCAGGTCAGTGCTTAAGATGCGAAGGAGATACATGAATCTCAACTGAGCATTTGCTAAGTGAGGTAGGAAGAGTGGCTGAATGAAGCACTATGCCAGAGAAGGAGGTGCCAAGCTGTACACGTGAGGCTCTTTACATACAGGCAGCAACCTTCTAGGAAACAACAAAGTGAATTCAGCAAATGTCTGCTGTCTGAACGCACAAGTGTGGAAAGGAAGTTAGCATTCTTCATTTGGGGACCACAGAGAGTAAGTTCTTCAAAGACACACACACACCAACGCACACACCCAACTCTAACTCATGAAGCCAAACTGAATATAAGGAGAGACAGGAAAAGTAAAAACAAGTCTTAAAAGATGCTCAAGCTCTAATTAAGTTTAGACTTAAACCAATGCCAAGGAAACCATCTGTGATATATTTTTGCTCAGCTCTACATTTATAAGTGGGACACATAATATCGGTCTAGTTAACTACAATGCAGCATTTCAACTATACAGAAGTAAGTCTTATTCTACCCCCTTCATCTTTAAAAGCGTTAAATAAGGAAGTTTAGGGCTTCTATTATTATGAATTATTTTTCAAACTGATGAATAAAGAAAAATGTCTATTCTAATTCATAAAAACAACAAAAAACAGTGAAAACTGGTAACAATATTCCGTTGTTCTTATTCATTTATAATACATTGAGTTTGGGAAATATTCAAAGAAAAGCATGTTCTTGAGTCTATTTAGGGAATAGACTCTATTTTCTGATTTTGTAACAACAGCCAGATGTGCTTTGAAGTTGACTACTCCCACTTTGCAATCCGCAGGCAGCATGGACTTGGATGGAGCAATGTGTAAACAGTCTTAAGGCTGCCTTCTTTCATGTTATTTCAGAAAACCTCGTTCTCTCAAAATACATCAAGAACAAACGACACAAAAAAGAATGTCTAGCATGGTACAACAGACTCATGTGAAACACTGATGTAGATGAAAATATATAGAAGGCAAAGCCACAAATAACTAGATTCTAACAGTGCAAATCCATCAGCCATCTCCACATTTGTTTCAAAAGCAAACAGAATAGCAATATTAAAATACATAATAATTTAAGATAGGCAGTAATACAGATATCTGAATGCTCTCTAATGAAAACTGACTTTTGATGCTTCGTTTCATTTACTTTTTAGCAGGCACACGAGATTACAAACTGGTTTTTGTTGGTTTATAGTTTCAAATTATTCAGGATTTGGCTGAACCTTCTGATAAACTAATAGTCAGAGAGGTTTTGTTTCCAGAAAAATTAAAAGGCACTTTATCAGATATACAAACTTTAAAGGGAAAGACATTGTCAAATGATATATTACCAGCAACACCAACTAAAATAACTTTTAAAAATCACAGTGTAGGAAAACTCTTCACAGGGATGAGGGAGCTGGGCAGGGGACTCAGCTTTCAACATCTAGTGGACTGTGCTTCAAGATGATACCTTATCAATATTTTAGAAATCAATGTCTGGGGCCAGTGCGATGGCTCAGTGGTTAAGGGTGATGCTGCCAAACCTGATGGCCTGACTTCAACCCCTGGGCCCCACATGCTAGGAGAGAACCAACTCCCACAAGTTATCCTCTGACTTCCAGAACTGAGAACACAAATAAGGAGTAATTTTTTAAAGAACAATATTTTCCACAGAAATAATACCTCATGTGAATACTCACTCACTAGTTTACCCAAAATATTTCAACAAACATTTATCAGGCTTCAGCAACAAATACATACAAACACACCATCCAGTACCACTAGGAAAAGGGAAAAAAGCCAAAAGAACAGATCATGAGCAGGAAATACTGTTGTCTGTTGCCCATGAGACAAATTATACCTTGGTGCACCAAGAAAAGAATGTTTCATCCATTGGTTCTGATGAGCTGAGGTTCAGCTTGGGTTTGATTTTGATCAGGTTAGGTTTTTTGGGTTTGTTTTGTTTTTCCTGATATTAAGTAAGGGATCATTAGTGGATCTTTCCTTCTCAGCATTTCTTTGGATACAGAACAGAACTTTCATGAATGTTCACATTACTCATTAATGTTTACCTTTGGTTTTAATTACCACTTTTACACAGAACTCTTTGATATCGGTGGGTTTTGTATTTTGATTTTCAGCTAAAAAGATGAAAAGGAAACTACTCTTTTGGTGGTAATTTCTAGTTTTATTAAAAGTTATTTGCTGAAAATGTATTTATTCCCTAATCAGAACAGTTTTATAAATACCAACAGCCATACAAAAATAAACTCACAAGCAGAAGTTCTTCTCCTTGGCCTCTGTTCTATAACCATATTTCCTTTCAATTTTAGAAACTTTCATCTCCTTTTTAAGATAAAAATATCAGCTATATTAATTTCTCCAATCTCAAAACTAGTTTCCTCTTTTTTCTTTGGTGTTTAGACTTTATTTATTGAGTTCTGGGGGGGGGGTATGCACACAGCACAGTGTATGCGTGAAGTCAGAGGACAGCTCGTGAGAGTTGGTCCTTTCCTTCCATGATGAGGTTTATGGGGATCAAACTCAGCATGAGGTTTAACAAGTGCCTTTACCCATGAAGTCACTTTAACAGCTTTTATATATATGACAGTTACACTACAGCCTGAGCTAGCCTCAAACTTACAGCATTCTTCTTGTTTGGGCTTCACAAATGCCAGGACTACATGTTGGTTTACATGCTGGCTATTTCTTGCCTTCTTTCGAAAGGTAACTCAAAGTGAATAACAATTTTTA